TTGATAGTTTGGACTATCCCTATATAAAGAATAACTGGCCCAAACCTGGTACCAAGCCCGGAATCGTTTTCCTTGTCGTTCCCTTTTTATTTGAGCATTCATTATGTTTAGCAGAGCAGAGTTCAACAAAGCTCTCTCTCAGGTGGATGAGACTAAAAGTTTGAAGGCCCAAGTAAATTTTCTTAGAGATTAAATGCAGGTGTATAAGGAAGGTTTTTTAGAGATTAGATGCAGGTGTATAAGGAAGGACTTTAGACATCCCATTGAATTGCAGAAAGAAATCGACAGGCTTTAAAAGATGACATCTTCATGCGACGTCTGTCATGGGAATTTATCCTCTGCACGGGTTTTTCTTGTTCACAGTCTTGGTTAATTTCATGGCTAACGTAAAAGTGATGTTCTTTTTTCTTTTTCATTTTTTTTTTTTTTTTTTTTGTATATCTCTTTTCATTTTCCCAGTAAAACAGAGTCATGGTTTCTCTCTCTTTTCATTTTTCGAAAAAGAAAATTTTATTTGCTCATCAAGTGGGCTTCACAAATTTTAAAAATCAAAATTAAAAAAAGACCTATTATTTTTTATTTATTAGTTTTAGTTCAAAATTTCTTGATATATTATTGTCCATGAAAACTCCTCCTGGCTTCGCTGTTGAATCCCCAATTGCCATACGCATGGGGCTTATTTAGAATTCGCTGATTGATATGCAATTCAATATGACCCACTGAACAAAGAGGTCAAGCCCTTTGGGCCCACTGAACATATGTATATGCCAGTGTTCTTCGACTCCGGTCACATTCTGAAACTCTAAAAGGTTTTTTTCAGGACACAAGTAATTGAGAAACCCAAACAATTCCATCTTTCACGTTTAAGAATATATTTTTACAGAAGATAGTCATCAGTCCCTTACCAGCCTATTTGGGTTTGGAGTTGTTTGTACTCCAATCCAATCATTTGGACAGGGTTCGAGGACTGGTTCACAGATTTTGGAGGAGAAAACTTAAGAGGTATTCTAAAAAACCTCCTTTTTTAATTTTATCTCTCTCTACTTTGTTTTTCTCAACCTCAAATTCAGATCATTATTTACAAATATCGTTTAGAAAATTGGTTCTAAATCTTTGAATGATTGAAAACCATGACTCTGTTTTACAGGGAAAATGAAAAGAGAGAGAGAAGACAAATAAAGGGCAATGAGAAGGAAAACGATTTGCAGTAATGTTAAATAAACTCCTGGAAATTACCATTTGGTCCCAGATTGTTTGGGCCAGTTGTTCTTTATATAGGGATAGTTTGAAATGGTCAAGTCACCAATCGACCTCTGGCCTAACTGGCCTGGGCCTATGCTTTCAAACCGAGGTCGGGTGGTCGACTCTGGTACTGAGAATTGAAATTGGAGGCTAAATGAGGTATTTTAAAATACCTCTCTTTTTGACTTGAAAATGGACTCAAAAGAAGTCTGCTATACAAGCATATCAACACACTACTCAAATGAATTATTGAGGCTTTCTTTTATTATGGGTGGGACTTTAGGCTATTTCTCAGTAATACAAAAGGCATTTAGTTTGTCTTCCACACAATTGGACAAATTAATAAGTTATAATAGCTTTAAATTGCTTTGTTATTAAGGGTGGTCAGGCCGCCTGGGGGTAAATTGTGGTGACCTTGTGGAACAGGGATGTGCGTACGAGTGTGAGGTATTGGCAGGTTGAGGTTGCAGTTGCATGCACGAATGAGTGTGAAAGAGATGCAAAATCTATACGTGCCGGTACTAGCTTCAAATGGTATGAAATCTTTTGGAGTAAAATTCAAAAGCAAAACCGTGCATACTCTGTTCAAAAGGTGGTAGAGCGCATCGTTACAAATGAAATATAAGTATGTATTATTATTGTATCTATTTTACATTAATTCTCATAGTTTATACATTAATATAAAAAAATTCATATTCTTCATTGTTACATATTTTTCTTAGTTAAAATAACACGTTAATGCATAGAAATATATATGTTTATTATTCATCTTATTAAATAATTTTATTTTATATGAATTTTAAAGCCACGATCGAAGTATCTAGAGTCTCGATCAATCGAAGATACGTTACCATTTGATCAACGAAAAGAAAGAAAGACACAATAGATGGATTATCCAAGAGCAACTAATGGTTAAGATCATTTGTGAATAATTTTAGAAGATTTTTAAAAGAGTTTTTAACAAGTCAAATTTGTTCTCGTACTTTAAAGTGAAGAAATAAAATTTCAAATTTGAATTTTAGAAAAAAAATTGGAAAGAAAGTTCTGCAACAGTCTCAGTGTTTTAATCATAACTTTTGACTCCGATAAAGAATTGTGCAAATTCAACTACTCTAAAAATAACTAATAAGAGTTATATCTCTTCATATTTGTATTTCACAATAAGTTCGTGAAAAGCACTCTAAGTGGGTCAAAATTTGGCTGCAAGTTGTCGAAAATATAGAAGGCTGACTTTGGTAAATTTTATTTTCCGAAATTTCATTTTTTTTTTTTATTTTTTGTTGGAGAAAACCCTACAACATCTTTATATAATCCAAAAGAGATTATCATTTATTATTATTATTAATTTTCTTTTATGTGTTGTTAAACTTTTTGCTAAGTTTAGGATTGAAGTCGCAACATTGATATGGTGTTTGCTTAACGATTATCTATGGTATTAATGTAAGTTTAAAAAAATCTTTGATTCATAGTTGTTTCCGGCCATGATGAATGCTTAGTATAATTCTTTGATTTATCGTTAACTTTTTGTACCGTAAATGCATAGGGTTCCTTGCGAATCAAATTAGTAGTTTTGTCAAGTTATGAATCAATCAATTTTATGAATTCATCTTTTAAGGAATGTTATTTTCAATACAAAAACTTTCAATATCTTTCCGTTGAGGTCATCCTTCGTTCGAGTCTCATTTGAGTTATAAAATAAAATCATTAGCAAAATCATGAATTTGTTATGTATGAATATATGAAACCTTAGTATTTTCAAAATATTGTTTTTACTCAAAATCAATTCTCTGTTATCCAATCATTAAATTTTCAAATCCTTTTTAAAATATATATATTTTTACTTTTACATAAATCGTTGTTTTCCCTTTTTTTTACGGTTCAACCTCAGACTTACTGAGTATAAAATTCTTTGCAACATACTTACACTTGAGAGCATTATAAAAGTCTAATAATTTTTTCTTTCTTTGGTAGTGGATGAATTAATAAGATCTTTCGTTTTTTTGATTGATTGATTTATTTATTCCGTACGTAAATCAATAGATTGTGATTTCAACAAGAATTATTTTTTTTTAAACAAATGTTCATGTATTGTTTGAGAACTGGAGATCAAATTACTTTTGTGAGTTAAAAAATCAATTGGGCTTGGGCCAGTTGTTGGTTTCAAAATTTGAAACACATGATAGAGAAAGAAATAAGCTAGAAGTGGAGTTTGTAAACTTATTTACAGACATCCTGAAGATGAAGTCACCGGTTCACCTTTGTTCTATCGGGTTTGGGTTTAAATTCCCACGATCGCAAGATATATCTGTGTCGTGTCGAAATAAAAGTATCATACTAAATATGTAAATTTAAATCTAATTTATTTAATAATTGTATCAAAAAATTTAAATATTAATTCAATTCGTTTATTAAATAGATAAACATGTTAACCCATTTAATGATCTGTTTATCAAAACGAGACATTCAATATTTTATCAAATACTAAATAATAGAAATAATTATCATAATTAACTCAAATATTCAAAATAAAAAGAAAAATTATAAGGCAACGGACAAGATTTATATTGAAATGACTTAACTATACATAGTAATTGAGCTTAAACAAGTAACATATTACATATATCATATTCATGATTATAACATATTGAGTTAAATTAGTCATAAACGGGTTACACGGGTTGAACCCCTCAACCCTAACCCGATTAAGTAAACAGGTTAATCATATCTCGACCTTTTTATGACCCAAACCCGTTTATGCCAAATCCAAACCTTTTTAATTCGTATTGTGTTGTTGTGTCATATCATGTTGTAATTTGCCACTTCTAGGTGTAATAGAGGTTAATAAGAATCTAACTTGATTTTAAACCGACTTTAAAAACTTATGCTACCCTTTGTTTGAGGGAATGATTGAGGAGTGATGGATGAGAAAAGAAATAAATAAAAATATAAAAATATTATATTTGACTGAAGAGAAAAGAAAAGAGGGCCGAAGGAAGGAGCAATGGTTCATCCCTCCTTCCTCTCTAATATTCTATTTGCCCAAAATTGGGAAGCAGATGAGAGAGAAAGGAGGATAATTATAACTAACAAATTGCTAATTTTCATTTTTAACCTTATTATTGCATAATTTAGAATGGATATATAATTTTTATAATTTTATATAATTAGGATACATTAGTAAAAACAATATAAAATTCTTTTTTCCCCTTCCTTCCAACCAAAAAAAAAATGTGTCACCACATTCATCCTTTATACTCTAGTCATTCCATCAAACACCTTTTCTTCTCTGGGATGCCTCATCCATTCCTTCACTTCTCTATTCCATCCATTTTTTCATCCCTCCAACCAAACGAAGCATACATTGCACATTATTTGGTTAGGCTTTGATTTTAAAAAAATCATCCAATCTAATTTATATTGAATTATGAAAATTAAAAAGCTCTATATGTAATATTGACAAAATTCAAGGAAATTAAGTGTACTGACATTGAAAATCTATTTTACTTTTATTTTATAACTAGCCAATTTATCAATTTAAGAGAGGCCCAAACAAGACTTCAACTCATACCCATACTTACTTTTCACATGTCAACAGATATTCAAATCTATTTTAATTTGACTAATACATTTTCAATTCAATAAATTTATATCCCCATCTTCTTAAGAAGTTTTCAAATACAGAGCCACTCCTTTTGCATCATTCTAATATTAAAACACAACAAAATAAAGCAACAAAGAATTACAGATAGACACAAAGGTGGAGAAACTCAAAATGGCAATTTATTGTAACAAAATAGAGTTTGTTTTTGCAGCAATCAAATAACAATCTCTCCTCCCCATCTACAAGAATTTTTTTTGTTTTTTGAACAGTTTCTTCCTCCAAGACCTTCACACATCATAATCCCACCAATCTACAACACCAATGGACACAACCATCTTTAACTGATCAAAGTCTCAGTTTTTGCTGTCTGAATATACATGGTATGTAAATCTAATAAAGTCATCTTCTTCTGCTAAAATTCGAAGAACAAACAGTTAGGAACTGAGAACCTATACAACTCTCAAGAACAATATGCTTTTGCTTTCTCTTTCTTTTTCTTTTTCTTTTCCTTTGTTGGAATGAAATGAGCAGTCAAACTAGGGATTTTAAATTCTCTGTTACAAGGAAATTAACACTTCCATCTTTTCTGATACTTCTTATGGCTCCAATTTTGAAAGCCCTGGTCAACATAATCAATCAATGCTCGAATTAGAAATATTAGGAGGAAAAAAAAGAAAAAGAAAAAAAAAAAAAAAGAGAGAAAAAGATTGGCAGTTATATTAAATAAACTCCTTGCAATTACCATTTAGTCCCATATTGTTGATTCCCAGGTTAGAATCAAATCCCATTTGAAGGAGACTTTGGAATTCATTGTCCCATACATTCTGTATGAACAAGAAAACGTTTTATGTCAAAAGCTCTAGGAAAGAAAAGAGTGAGACTAAAACAGTCAGTTAAAGCTTCTTTCTTTTGACTGAGTGTGTGTGCGTATGTGTGGGTGGGGGTTAATAAGGAGATGCTTTAGTTACCTGAGGCATAGAATGAAATGGAGGATTTGTACTTGGGATTCCCGGCAAGGTCCCCTGTGGTATTCCCTGTGGGTAAGGATGAGATGAGCTAAATCCAGGACCAAATCCAAGAATAGGTGCAACCCTACTTCGCGAATGGAGAATCTATGCAGAAGGGAAACTAAGATAAAGTTCAAATTATTCGAAAAGAGCAAAAGAAAATGAAATCTATCTATTTCTACATTTATTTTAGCATTGTGCAACCTTAACTTACATCTTTAGACATAATCCGTTCAATATCAATGTTCAGTTCTGGATTGACTGTGGCAAGTTTCATTGACAGAAACTGCAAGAAGGAAAAAAAAAACAGAAACGAAGTATAATGTCACTGAATTACTGAACATTTTGGAACTTGATTATCGGATCACTTAATTTATATCAGTTAAGGTTACATAGAAGAACAGATGATTAGAGATTTTCTAAAATTTGGTGTATTTTGGACAATTATAAAGAGAAAATTTGCCCATGTATTACTGAAAACTAACAACTGTGCGAGCTTGTATCAATACATAACCAATTTGTAGTAGCAACATGACAAGAAAAGCATGGGTGAGTGTGTATCATAAGCAACATAGGAATTGGGGAAACCCTGTATGTATGGATCACATTGGCTTTCATTGAGGAATTCAAAAGCATATAAACCAGAAAGATCATGACATAATGTTCTTTTATAAGCCAAGACTCCTTGCGAAAAGGCAAAATCATCCCATCTTGAATAGATGTCAAATTTATATTATATGTACTCCTTCACGAGCTCCAATTCTATTTTGTGTGATTAATGAAAATTGCTTTTGGCATAAAATTCTTTAATAACAACTAAAGAACTAATGCCTTGTCCAGAGTTGCATAATAGCATACCTCAACCTGCTGTTGCAGTGACTGCACATAGTTGATAATCTCATCAAGCATCACTGCCTTCCCGGTAATCTGTAATAGTAAACAACATCGAAGTGATCAACAATCACAGCAAGAATGAGTCCAAAACAATAAAGAATCAAAGCAAGAAACAAAATGAAAAAAGTTTGGCCTTCTCAACTTACCTTATTGCATCCTGGTACCAGTTCTTGAAGCAATCTCATTCTCTCGCTAATCCTTTCTCTTCTTACCTGCAAGCGGAAAAGATTTCCGAGTTTATTAAGATACAAAAACAACAGTCAAATGATTTTTTCATAATATGTGATCCATTGTAGCAAGAGGGCACCCTTTCTGCGAGGCTGTGACTGTTCGTGGCTTGCCCGCGTCTGGCTCTCACATGAATGTAATTTTCTTTCTGAACTTCTCCATTGTTGGAATTATCTTTAGCTTGTTTACCCATTTGCTTACCGCGGAAATTTGCGGTATTATTTTGTTCAATTTTGTGTTTCTTCTCTTCAGAACTGTCCCCAGAAAGATCCTTTGCTTGCTCCCCTTCAACACTCTATGGATGATGACAAACAATTTACCAAGATTGGTATTGACACATAATCAAAGGGGAGATGAACTTTATTACTTAACATATATATCAATAAAAATTGAAAAAAATAATAAAAAATTACCTTATTGTTGGGATTCAATGGAGAATGGATTTCCAGTGCTCTTTTTTTCCTCTTTCCATTATGTGAAGCTCCCACGGACCCATCATCTGAAATTTGGCAATCCTCCTGAGAATATGCCACATTTTTCCATGTCTTTTCATTGCCAACCTCCATGTTTGGAGGATAATTTGAAGGACAGCCAGTATTAGCAATCTGGAGACTCTCAGCTAAGCCAAAAGAACCAACCATTTCTGAGAAATTTCCACTTCCAAAACATGGAAGCTTTGACACGGGCTCAACAAGACCAGAAACAGGAGGATATTGAACTAGGTGGGAAGTGCTACTCATTGCCTGACCAAGAGGATAAGAAGAATTGGTAAACTCATTGTGAGAAACCATTGAAGAACCTCCAAAATTCTCACTCTGATTCAATGAAACAAGTGGATCCCAACCAGAACCAAAGAAAGGGTCTGCTCTATTTGAAGATTTAAACATGGACCCTGAACTCATTGCCATTCCTGCAACCTTGTCAGACAGTGGATTTGTGCTCATCCCAGAAGATGGGCAATTCAAATTAGCATCACCACCTGTGTGTTGAAGCCGCATATCACCATGATCCTCAGTACCCATGTTCTGAACACAAATGAAAAAAAAAAAAACCTCTAGGACCTATAGAACTCAACCTAGACTGAAAAGAGAAAACCCAATTCAACAGTTACTACTCCAAACCAGAAATAAATACTTATCTAATAACAGAAGGAAAAATATAAGTAAAAGCACGGTTTGACCAAAAATACTTGGTAATTTCTTGCAGGACTCAACAAGGAACAAAATAACCTTGGCAGCTTTATAGGACTGAGGAGGGGGTTAAAGCAAAAGAAATCTGTCACTGAAGCATCCCATGGACACAAAGGAAAAGGGGAAATCCAGTGTAGCAGGCATAAAATCTACACAGCATCAGCTACTTCTGCTTTCAAAAACCCTAGGATCAAGTCTACTCCAATGTAGAAAAAGTAGTTCCTTGAGACAAGAAAGTCTGAACCTTTCAGAGCATAAAGTAGACAAAGAAGAAAAATGAACAAGTAACAGCTCACCAGACCATTAAAAAGAAAGCAGATTCCCTTTTTTTTTCCCCTCTTATCACTCATAGATAGCAGAAATTAATAAATTTTACATCCTCCACCCAGATAACCATTAATTTGATCCAATACACAGGCTTGAATATCTTCAATTGGGAACAAATGATGACATAATTTTCAAGCTTCAGACTGTAAAAGTGGAAAGGAAATGGAGTCTAAAGAAGCCCTAATATGGAAATATACCAGTTGTTGAAGCTTTGAATCAACACCTAACAACCCCACAAGAACCCAGAAAAAGGGCAGTCATAGAGACCCTTTTCAGATACTCTCAGATGGGTACCCAAAAATGACAAAAAAAAAAAAAAAAAAAGCATCAAATTCTACTTGAATTGTATATAAACTGAAATGGGTAGGTCTCAGAACAGTGCCCCAAAATTAGGAGTATCAAATGCTTGCTTAATTTCCACAGAGAAACCAAAATCACTAACTGGGTACTTTCAAAAACAGAACTGTATGCTAGAGATCATATTCCAACTATTGGAGAGCAAATCCAATTTAGAGAACTAGGATGCTAGAGATATGAAGTGAGAGAAAAAGAAAGAGAGAGAGAGTTTGCTTACTTGCCCAAGCTAGCAGCTGACATGTATGATTTTAAAAGACATACTAACTACTACCAACTGCTCTTGCTGGTAAATTATTTCAGAACCTAATCTTTTCCTTTTCCCCCATACTTCACTCCTTGTAATTTCTTTTTTTATCATATGTGTATATAATACATAAATGTATACTTTATATTCTTTTATGTGTATGTATAAATATATACATATCATAATTGATAGGAGAGGTTCTTCTCTTCAAGCCCAAGCTTGCCTGCTTGCTTGATATCCTTTTTTTACTGACACATTTGCCAACTATTCTACCAGACCTCTCTTTGCTGTTGCACACTCATTTTTCTCAGTGCCAACTAACCCAACAATTCTTTTGAGAAGCACCCATTATGCATCTAAACTCCATCACTCTCCATGAGCCACCATTGTCCATCATGATGCAAACTGTGGCACCACCAAATCATTGACTGGTCTAAGTTTGGGTCAATTGCCAAGTGTATGGTTCAGATTGTTCAAGTAAAAGACAATGCTACAATTGCGGACTACACTATAGTTTCTCTATTTTCTGGTTTTTTGTTTTTTAGTAATTTGTCAGTGCAATCTTTTTCTTTTACTTTGGAGCTTTGGCCCTCTCAACACAAAGGAATAATGGAATCTCATCATATATTTACCTTCTTGTCCTTGTACTTGTTTCCAGCTGTAGGTGCATAGGCTGCATGTATATATTTATATATATATATAGTCTCAACAACCAACCTGGTCAAACCAAATATCATATGGTCAACACCTAGTCCGGTTGTGATCTTGCTGGAATTACAAGTTATTCCGAAATTAACGGCTAATTTGCTCCCAAACAAGTACTAATGAATGATCTAGTGTGAAACAGTGCACACTACAAAAATGTGTCATCATCATTGAATTTATTCTATGCCAGCATTGATAGGACTGAGTGATTTGATCTGTGATGTGGTAGAGAGTAGAGGGAACCACATGAATTGGTGTTGTACAGTCAAAATGGCAATGAGAATGGAGATGTTGATAGGCTTGATAGCTGATGATTGAGATGGCAACACCAAACTTATCAATGTGGGTACTCACACCAAATCATTCTTATGGGTACGTTTCAGGTTGGGATTGGCTGGAGCATTAGATTCGAGATCTATGTTGTTTTCATTATTTTTTTTTAGTTGGAGATTTGAAAGGTAATTAGGAAATAATAAAGCCTGTTTGGCTATTCTAAAATTAATGATTGTGTGCTAACACAGAATTGACTTGAGATGTGCTGTGAGGGCCAACATCGTTAGACTCTAAGGGCATCTACACCAATCTTTTAATTTTATTTTTTTTTATTATTATTATTATTTTTTTTTTTTGGTAAAATTCACATTGTCATGTTGTATAAATTTTTTTATCTTCAGCACAGTAAATATACACGGCCACATTATTAATGTATAAAATTATTGTGTATTTTACACAATCTTTTTATACTTCTTATTCCATTAATGAATCAACCCTATATTAAGAATATCTCCAACAATTATGTATATATATTTTTTTATGTAAATATGATGTATCACGATAGATTTACACAAAAAATTTAAATTATTTATTTTTAACTCCAGTGGTTATTTTATATCTTTTATGTAAAAATATATTTCCCAATAAAAACCAATCACGTGTCATGTCAAGACCCCACATAACTTTTACAAATCTATATAATATTGATTCGTTAATGAAATAAAAAAGATACAGGAGAAATTAAATATGTTGATATGGCTGTAAAAAGGTTGTGTAAAATACACAACACATTGGTAACGTGGCCGTGTATTTTAACAGACCGTTGAAAAAAAATAAAAAAAATTACACATCATACGTGACAGTATATATTTTACACAAAAATATGTTTTAAGTAGGTTTTTAAAAATTATGTGAGGGTCTAGACATAACACTGGTTGGTTGTTATTGGGGAGATATATTTTTACACAAAAGGTATAAAACAACCAAACTAAAAATAAAAAATCTAAATTATGACACATCAGATTTACACCAAAAAATATATAAATAACGGTAAGAGATGCTTTTAATATAGAGTTGATTCGTTAATGGAATGAGAAAGAGGGAGGGAAATGAAATATATTGATATGATTGTGTAAAAAGATTATATAAAATATGTTAGAAAGGTGTGTGAATGTAACTTGTCTGCAACGTGTCTATGTATATCGCATTAGACTACAACGTGTGAATATCAATTATATGTTGATTGCAACAAGAATATTCTGGTGTGAAAGGTTGTGTCGACTCGGGTAAGGTGATGTTTTAGGAGTGGTTATAACCAATAGATGCAACTAACCTAAACCATTGCATCTCAAATGAACAAACACATCTAATAACAATGGGACAACACTTTGATTATAACCAACCATTGCAACCTATTGGAAGTGGTTGTGCCTATTAACAAAGAGACACCACCTTATCTATAAATATCCACCATTGGTTGCCATTTAGGCGTGCAATTGATTATTCTCTTTCTCTCAAGATGAACCCAACCCAAGTGGGTGTGGGTTCAAGCCATGGTCAAGTAGTCTGAGTCACTTAGGCCTAAAACCAATTTCATTGAGCCATATTCAATTTGATCCGAGCCATTTAGTTCGAATTGCACCCAATTCATTTTTTATATAATATAGATGCATTTTTGAGTCAGAGAGTGTTATACGGAGAAGGTTCACCGTATCTACGAGTTTGTAGTGCTACTACTGGTGGATGTAGACCGTTGTATCCTGGAAGATAGACGCCACTGAGTCCGTTAGCACCATAGCGGGGCGAATCTGTCTTAAGGACATAGTATTCAATACTAGTCTCGGTTCAGATTCTTTATTTATTATTATTATTTTATTACTTTATTTTGCATATTTAATTAAATATAAAGTTGCATATTTAATTAATGATTTCTTAGCATATTATTAATTATCTCATGACATATTAGTATAAGGTTTGTTATATCTTAAATGTCACATGAAGCATATTTTTTACCAACAAAATACACAATAATTTTACACATTAGTGATATAGCAGTATATTTTCACAAACTGCTGGAGATAAAAAAAAATTTACACGAACATACGTGGCAAAATTGGCTATGCCACCACATATGAGGTTTGTTAAATTAGCTATGCCATTGGATTGGAGTTTAAGTATGACAGTTTATTCAATTAAAAAGAAGAGCTCCTCTGAAATTTGTTAATATCTCGAATAGATTTTTTTTACATTTCATAATCTCACTTATCTCTTTTGAAATTCTGGTTTATATAATAGATTTTTTCCTTACCCTTAGATATAGACATACATAATATGCTGATGTTAGTAGCAGAAAATTGATAGAATGTCAATTTTGCCCTTCTAATGTGTAAAATGACAATAAATATTTCATGGGCAAACAGTACAATAATATACTACTGTTATCAAATTGGGCGACCTTCATTAATAAGAAATGAGATTATGAAATATAGAAGGAGTTCATGTGAAAATTTGACAAATTCAAGGAAAATTAAGCATAATTTACACGAGAAAGAAAGTAAAAGTTTAGACAATTAAATTGAGATTATACCGTTGGAATAGAAACTTTAAGATTGTGGTAAAGTTTGGTCTAGATTTGATTTTTGCAAAGATATGGGTGCAAAATGATGCCCAATTCATTCAAGTTGCATTGTCAAAGAAGAAAACTCATTCGATCAAGCTGTAATTGCTAAAAATGTCCATGCATGGTTATCAATGCATCATTTCATGCTTCAAATCAGATTCAAGCTTCATCACCTTCTTTGCCTTTTTCATTAATTCTCTTTTTCCATTTTTACTTTATGATTCAAGCTTGAACTGCGAATTTACCAATTTTTTTGAATTTCTCAATTCAGATATGAAATTGATTAAAATTTTGAATCTATTTGTAATAAGATCACATAAAATGTAAATTGAACTTACAAATCTCTTTGTATCAGTCCCACAATTGGGAAACACTTGTAAATAAATTCTAACTCAGCACATTCTTATCGGATTCAGTATGATTTTCAATTTAGTCTGTCTTAATCAACATGGACCCAAAAAAAGAAAAAAAAAACGTTAGGTCTATGGTATACAAGCCAACTAGAAATGGCCAACATCCCAAATCAAATTGAATACAGAAGATTCACGATACATTCTCTGACCTATCGAAAATTAATTACTTACAGATTATAAATCTGTGGTGAGTCACGTCACAAGTTGTGATGAAACCCACAACAAACTCTGAGTAGTCGAGTATTATTTCATTTGAAATTCACAAAAATACATAAAATGATTGTGGTTGAGTTAATTTAAAAAGTCAATTTTAGTCCGTCGGTTGTAAAATATATATTAAGCCTTCACGTGGAACCCCCTTTCCTAGATTCACAACATAAATATTAATTTAAAAATAAATAAATAAATGCCCACTGCATTTTACTCTATTTCAGACATTTGAGTTTTGAACCACTGTCGAAGAGATGATCCAATCATAGGAAATCATGGCATGTCACTCCTCACTAGAATTATGCTAAATGAATACACACCTAAACACACACACACACACACACACACACACACAGATCGTTTGGGATGAGGCTAGATCTGGAAACAAAGTTGCATGTGTTACACATAAGTGATTTGTACCTGAAATAGTAGTTATTAAACCAATAACACCCAACAAAAACAGGCCCACAAGGTCACGCGTGCGCCAATCAATGGGCCTGATAGATGGGCCTTTATACATCGCTCAGCCCTAGAAAAATGTGGTCCTGCCTAACATAGCAATGATGGGTTTGATACCTAAGAGAAGAATCTCAAAAGATTTTGCCCTCCTCACATAAATTTTTCTCAAACTCCAATTCTCTACCATAAAGAAAAACCACAATGTGCTTTGCTTTATTAAGTCCACATCCCATGCTTTGACATCCACTTTTGAAAGAGCTTTTCCTTCTCTTCTTTATAAAAAGTTGCCAACCAGCCACACTTTTTCCCAATTCAGAACCACAAAGATCATAAGTTTCTGCATTATATTATTGTGGTTCGATGAGAAAGCAATGTACAATTCATCACAACTACATTGAATGTATAACATTCTTTTTGTGTTTTTCAACCCATAATGTATGTTATTAAATAAATTCGATCGCGTATAATTTATGTTAAACCCCATTTCCTCCAAGAAAAGTAATCATTAGTCGCGGTTTTTTTTTTTTTTTTTTTAAATTAAAGTGTTAAGGCTGCTGCTAAGGAAACTGGAACCATGATGGTTACAATTTGTTGCAACTTATGGAATGAATGAGGGGCAGAGGAAGACAATCA